CCAGGGGATTCACTCCTCATCCAGGGGTTCCACACCTCATCCAGGGGTTCCACATCTCAACCAGAGGTTCCACACCTCATCCAGGGGTTCCACCCCTCATCCAGGGGTTCCTTTTCACCATTTTGTGAAAAGCTTTTTTGTAATTATGACTGTCGAGGGATTTTAGTTACTTATTCTTATAATACACCTTTACACCTCTGTGGTTTCAGGAGAGGAAGAGGATGGTGAAAGAAGCTCAGAGAGAGAAGAGGAAGACTAAAGTACCCAAACATGTGAAGAAGAGGAAGGAAAAGGTGGTAAAGATGAAAAAGGGGCAGTGAATTTCAGTCTCTTAGGTTCATAGGTCACAGATTAGGCAGCCAATCACAGATCAGATCTTTCAGTCAGCCTCATCGCCACGGTAACGGCGGATTCTGGTTCCAACCTTAACAATTGGTCTGATTTTCTTCTGTGAATAAAGTTTCTGAACATTATTTACCTTTCTTAGTTTTGTTTTTTTTCCCCTGGGGTCCGAAGATAATGAAACGTTTTTGACCCTCAGAGCCACCATACAAAAATCTTCATCTTCATCATCACTTTGATTCTCCTTGTTTCTCAACCTTCTCTTGGAAACGGACCGATTCTGATCCATGTCAGCATCCGTTCAGCTTATTTTAGTTTATTTCTGTAGCTTCAAATCCCAACAGAGGTCATCTCAGGGCACTGAACAAAAACATTCTCATAAATTATAAAATACATTAAGGCTGCATTCACACCAGCCCTGTTTAGTCCACTGTAATCCAGTTCCAGCTCGTTTTCCTAGAAAGTCCGGTTCCTTTAGGGAGGTGTGAACGCACCATCAAACTCTGTCACGGAACAAAAAGGTAAACTCTGGCCCGGGCTAAAACCTAGGTCTGGGTCCGGTAGAAGAGAACTCCAGCACGGTTCCAGTACAGTGTGAATGTAAACAGTCCGGGCCCGCTCCACAAGACAAACAAACACACATTTCTCTTATATGGAGCCGTCAGCTGACTTGTGTGAAGAACAATATTCTCCATGGTCTTCTGTCTCATCTTCTGCTCATGCTGAGTCCATTGTTGAAAAATGACAAAATATAACTCCTAAAACTGATAAAACTTGATGCCACTTCGTTTTTATTTTTATTTACAGAAGAAGAAGACGTGTCTTCAGAGGTTTTTGTGTCGTTTCTTTCAGTAGTTCTTGGTGCAGCGCCCCCACAGGCGAGTGGGGGAACAGGTTGCTTCAACAGGTTGCTTCAACAGGTTGCTTCAACAGGTTGCTTCAACAGGTTGCTTCAACAGGTTGACTCGACTGCACAGTGCAGTGTGAATGCAAACGCACCAGCTCAAATGTAACAAAAGGTCATGAATATTGGTCCAGAACCGAACCGAGTCTACCGGACTATCTGGTGTGAAAACGACCTTAGTAAAAGTTCTCTCTCTGAGGAAGCAGCAGATTGTGTTGAGTCTTCACTTCGTCACAGTCTCCCATCCTGAGCAAGCACAGAGAAGACAGTGGGAAGAAAAACCCTTTAACATGAAGAAACCTCCAGCAGAACCAGACTCAGGACGAGCGAACATCTGCTTCGACCGGCTGGTTGAGAGGACAGGGAGGAGAGACCGACACAGAAAGACAGGTCCACGTGGGGTTTCAAGATGCAGCTACAGCGTGCGCTCTCAGGACATCATTACCTGCAGTGTTCCCTCAGTGAGGACTGAACTAGACAAAAGGACCTTCTCCTACTCCGCTCCTGTTTCCTGGAATATCTTGTAAAAACATCTGAAGCTCTCAACCTTTGACCTCTCTAAGTGGCTTCAAACATCTGATAAGTTCCTGTTTTTAGTTTCTAAATTGCCTGTTTTGTTTTTTTGCTACTTTTCTTTTTAAATAATGTTTTATTTTCACTTGTTAAAAAGAAAAAATTAATAAATTTGTACACATCTTTTATGATTGTCCACAGTTGTCATCACTCTGTTCACATCAGGTGTGTCTTGTAAACGAGTCCCTGAGGTTCAATGGGACTATTCTGTAGAAATAAAGGCTGAATGAAAAATCAAAGATGGACAAGATGGCCGCTCACTGCAGCTTCCCAGTCTCCTGGTGGAAGAACCCAGTTTGTCTTGCTCTGAGCCCGACTTCGCCTGGTTTAACCCTTTGATGCACAACATGGGTCAAAAATGACCCGCATTCATTTTCCAGGTTATTTCAAGCCAAATGAGTTTTTCTTGGCTCCATCTTTTGAAATCAATTCATTTTATGATTGACTATTCCAAGTATTCTTTAAATATCTTGTTTTTAATTACCACAGATCATTAATTTATTTTTTAATTTCCTATTTTATGAACAAAAATACTTTTTACATCACCAAATGTGATTTAAAATTAAATGTTTTAATACTATGATAAACATTTGTTTCAAGTAATTTTTTTAGCAGTGAATGGAACCAAACAATAATTTCTTTAATATTAGCAGCGTTTGTCATTTTGTCACACAGACCTCCTGAGAACCGGTAACAGCTGTTGAACTGAACTTTATCTGAGGTTTAACAAGTGAAAACTGTGAGCAAACCCAATAAAACACAATAAAATAAAACAATAAAATGCAATAAAACACAATAAAACACAATAAAATAAAACAATAAAATGCAATAAAACACAGTCAAACAAAATAAAACACAATAAAACAAAATAAAACACAAAATAAAACATAATAAAACAATAAAACACAATTAAAACAAAATAAAACACAATTAAAACAATAAAACACAATAAAGCATAAAACACAATAAAACACAAAACAAAATAAAAGACAAAACAAAATAAAACACAATAAAACACAAAACAAAATAAAACACAATAAAGCACAAAACAAAATAAAACAATAAAACACAATAAAACACTAAACAAAATAAAAGACAATTAAAACAAAATAAACCACAATAAAACACAATAAAACACTAAACAAAATAAAAGACAATTAAAACAAAATAAAACACAATAAAGCAATAAAACACAATAAAGCACAAAACAAAATAAAACACAATAAAACACAATAAAACACAATAAA